AGGAGCAGACTGGGAACAGAGCTGGTAGAGCAACAACTGGTCTTTGCCTGTGTCAACAGCCCCACTGTAGAAGCTCAGGGACCTCAGAACTAAAAAGGAGTGCAGCAAGCACAGACTACACAACCAGTCCCAGAGGTCCAAGGAGTGAACTCTTTAGCCTCTTTTTGCACCAAGTTGTCTGGTTCATTAGTGAGATGGGTAAAAGTGTGATGAGAGGCAGATTATGGGTGCCAAAATAGTTCCAGGATCTGCAGTATCTTTGAGGAAAAGTTCTATGAAGTAATAGCTAAAGTGCTATAAAAAATAGATTTCGGAATCAGTAAAGAATTTTAATCTCTCTAAGCACTGTGTCTTCTCTTATAAACATAGAGAAATCAGATGCATAAAAATTTTCCACTTCCTTAGGCTCCAGCACTTGGAGAGTTGATGAGCAATGTTTCTTAGCCTACTGAAGTTCCAAAGTGAGGAAGTAAGGGTGTGTGTGTGAAGGGGAGAGAGAGAATATGGTCTGAAATCAGAATTGAGACTGAAAAAATAACAAAGGATAAAAGAGATGATCCCTGTACCCCAGGCTATAAGGAAATCTTAAAACTTGGAAATGAGGCCAAGATTTGCTTGCTTCCAGTTTTGCTTCCAAGTGAGACACCCACTCCAGAGGAAAGAGAAACCTTATTTTCTAATGGGAGAGAACGTATCTAGATTCTGGTTTCAGGAACAATATCTGTGACTAGGATCCTACCCTTCTGCTCTGAGAAATGGCTCCACCCCTGAGGAAAAAATTCTTTCTTGACTCCTTTTGACCCCAGACTGCCAGCTCATCTGGCACGAGCTAGTATTTCTCAAAGATGCCATGCAATAAATTCTTAAGCAGCATTAAAATAATGGATGTATATACCCAGGGTCCGCAAGGAGGGAGCATGGGGGCAGGGAGGGTGATACAAGTAGATGGCTACAAGCCAGAATTTCTTTGAAGCCTCAGGTTTAGTTTTAATCATTTGTGTAAATTTTACATTCTACTGTTTAAATAACTATGTTTTAATAATGAAATAGATAACATCTACAAGGAAAATTGGTATTCCCAGATTCTAGATCCCATTCATCCCACAGCAGTGTGTACCTCCTAGAACCTTCCATATACACCTTAGAGGGACTAGGACTTCAGTTTGTAAGACATGGGCTGTGGATTCTATTCAGCTCCACAATATAAATCCAAAAAAAAAAAAAAAAAAGACTCTGGAGCACTTTAGGTTTCAAGCAGCATAAACTGGAAAACTGGTACTCAGTGA